TGATAAGATGAGCATGAGGTCAGGTCAGTTAGCTCATCGTGACAAATTCACTAGGAATTTATCACGATGATTTCCAGGGAACCGCGTGGGGGTCAACCTGATATGGTGCATTGCTAGTAATGGGGTCATGAGTCCACATTACAAACAATTCCCTTCCTCCCTCATGCGAGTTTAACCGCGGGCTTAGCTAGTATAATAATAAAGCTCAGTGCATGAACCCCGTTATGGTGTAGAAACTTTTTTTCTTTTACGAAGGGATTACGTATTCCGAAACACTGAAACAGATTTACAGGAATATAAAGAGTTACTGAACAGATTCTTTAATTCGTTTTATTATTCAACTATTACTCGCGATTTCCTTAGTTTTATTAGACAACCCCCTTCCCTTTCATACTATCTGTCTTCACATCAAATCTATTAGTTCTGATTGTTTGTTAGCGTTAGCGTAGCGTTAACAACTAATGATACTTCTCATGTCAATAGTCATGTCAATCATTGGTAATCAACGTCTATGTGACAGACTCGACCCATTGGCTTTGCGGCGTGATATTGCATCTCTGTGCATTTTCTACCGCATATATCACGGGGAGTGTTCTGAGGAATTGTTCGGATTAATACCAGCTGCTGAGTTTCACCACCGTACCACCCGCCAGAAACTGAAATACCATCCTGATCATCTGGATGAATGGCGGTCTTCCACAGTACGGTTTTCTAGAAACTTTTTGCCTCGCACAACCACGTTTTGGAATCACCTTCCAGCAATGGTATTTCCGAACCGATACGATATTGAAACCTTCAAGAAAAGAGCTTATTCCTTTTTAAGGGGGTCTTCCTATGTGACGGTCTGTTTTTTAGGGATATTTTAGGATTTTTTTTCTACGACCAGTAAATATTTAGAGCTTCAAGTTTTTTATCATTTATTAACACATATTTGGACAGTATAAATATAAAATTTCAGCTAAAAATATTCAGTCAAACTAGAGTTACAGCGCTCACAGAACACCCCCGCCTCGAAAAAAAGAGCTCCCACTTCCTCCACGATTCCGGCTGATCGGCTTATCTGAAAAAAAAACGGCGTGAAAAACGCGTCATTCCGTGCTTTTAAAAGCCTACAAATTAAATTGTAGGCTTTTAAAAGCACGGAATGACCTATAATCAAATGAATATAAAAAAAATTGTATTTTTGATAGACATTTGAAATAAAAGTTGCAAATTAGGCGTTTTTTTTTTTTTTTTTTTTATAAAAAAATCGAAGTTTTGAAAATTTTCGATTGATAATAGTTCATTCCATGCGTTTACATATATTGAGTGTGCCCTGTAAATTTCAAGTAATTCGGTCCAGCCGTTTCTGAGATACAATGGAGGAAAGTTTGAAAAACACAGTTTTGAGAAAAACGCGTTTAAAGTTTCAAGTCCGTTAAAAACTATTAAAATATCAACTTACTCTCAATCGGCGATGCCTGGTCCATAGAGTATTCCTTCCTCTTCCTCGTGAAACTCTTTTAAAGCAGATTGTTCAGCTCTTGAGTCAATCCTGGCTTGTTTAACGACATCACTTACGCGCCGCTCAGAGCGTAAGATTCGCTTTTCATCCCGTTTCTCAACATACGCTTGGGCTTCACGACCAACAGGGCATCCCATAATCGACATAACTTTTAAAATACCTTGAAAACCTTCATTAAAGATAATAACTGCTAAGTAGCTAGCAATTTCAACAACTTTGGGACCAGAATGAAGATGTTTAGGAGCGAAAGTCCAAATCAAAGAATTCAAAGATTCGTTATTGTTTTGTGTCTCTGCTCCTAAACAACGAATTAATAATTCGTCTTTCGATAAATCTTCGAAAACCGGTTTGATAGCTTCTTGGACTTGCGGAATTAGAGGTGGTTTATCGTGATGAAATTGGTCCAGTTCATTATTAGCTTCAGCCTTACGCCATTTTTGGTGGGTAAAACGGTTTCCACTAAACTTTCTTTTTTTACTACGACCAGGATGAACATTTCCACTCGTACTTCCTTTCCGTCCACTCATTATGAAAAAAAATAATTTGTAGCTGTTGCTCTCTTCGAAGTTCAACCAAGACTAAAATAACTTCGGTAAAATATTATAACAATAGAAATTTCTGTTTAAGTCTGTAGAAACGTGTCTAAACTTGTATAAACAAATATATTAATAAAAGGGAGGCCAGGTATAAAGCCGACGGTACACAATAGGCCCGGTCTCTAACTGCCAACTCACCGCTCCGAACCGCTCTTTCTTTTACCTGCTGTATCTTTAAAACGACTTCGAATTTTCTAAAATCGCTTTACTACCGTATTCTAGACATGTTAAGGGAGCAATTTATGAAAAAAAAAAATCGATTTTTTCAACCCATCACATAGGAAGACCCCCTTAAAAGGCCGACAACGTACTTGCAGTTACCCTGGTGTTGCGGGTGCTCATGGGCGGCGGTAATCACTTACCATCAGGTGAGCCGCATGCTCGTTTGTCCCCTAAGTTATAAAACAAAAAAAAAGACTGTAACTCTAATACGGACGTGGGTTTTCATATCAAAAAAAGCAAACAAAGTCGCGGGTATCTGTTTGTGTTACATATATTGTATAAAAATGGGTTGGGTTGATTGATATTATTATTTTTATTCAATATACATTTGTTTTTACACATTTATCTGCAGACAATTCATTGACGTCTTCTCGTTACGCGTCGGCTGTTTCTATAGGTATATTTTGTATCTGTAGTATTACATTATCAATGTCATACTATATGGTACATGTAACGGTTATCTTATCTGTTTAATAATGTAATACGGAGACATTGAAGTAGGTGTCGCGTCGACGTGGGTATGTCTGTCTAGTTCTGATAACTCAGGTATGACATATTCATATAGGTATACAATTTAAATTCCATTTAGTTTTATGACAGCCATGTCTGATGAAGAAATGGTAACGTTACATGGTCATTGTCTTATACAATGTTTCTCGTCCCGGCTTCACACGGATGCATTAAAAATGTTTGAATTTCTCGGCTTGTTATACTATAACACGCATGTATTATACGCTAGCTGTGCCCGAGGTTTCATCCGCAATAAATTGATCCTTACTATTCCTTACTTTGATATTATAAATGCGAAAGTAACTCTGTCTGTCTGTCTCGATTTCACGCCAAAACTACCAAATCGATTTAAGTGAAATTTGGTACACAGATAGTCTAGACTCTGAGAAAGGACATACTTTTTAATGCGAATAAAGGGTTGTAAGGGGTTGAAAGGGGAGATGAAGGGTTCTATGGAAGTATCGTCATTATCAACTTATTTTTTAGGTTGTTCATTAAATATAAATAAATATGACTAAGTTTGTAAAATAGTTACCCTTAAGGGGGTAAAAAATAGGGGATGAAAGTTTGTATAGAAAATCGTCATTTTTGGAACTATAACGAGGAATCTTTTCTCTTTTCCATTTTTGGGTTAGATTATGAAATATTTTTTTTATATCTGGTCAAGGTCACTATAACACGCGGCCGAAGTCGCGGGCACAGCTAGTAGCCTATATGTTATTCTGATATATAAGCTATATTTCTGTAAAGTTTCATCAAAATCCGTTTAGTAATTTTTGCGTGAAGGAATAACAGACTTCATCTATTCTCACATACTTTCGCATTTATAATATTAATAAAAATCTTATTATTAACATCTACTATAGTGGTATAAAGACAGTGGTCCTTATTATTCCCGGTAGTAATAAAACACGTGTACTTGCCAACAATTTTCCTGGTGTCGGTCGATAGGTTAATTGTAATTGCTGTTATCTCTACGTGGTCAGATAACTTTATAACAAGGTCAATTTGTGGAAAAATAACAAAAAAATGTAATATTAACTATCTACTTGCGGTTCCGTCTTGACTCACACTATTTACCTAAAGCATTAGAATAGTTGTTGTTATTAAACTAAATCTTAAATCTCAGGACAATTCACACAGAGCCATCTATCTAGACCCAAATTAAGCTAGCTAAAGCTTGTGTTATGGGTACTAGACAACTCATATAAATACATGGATTTTATTTTATTAAAATAATGAATTGTATAACATATTCTTATTTATATAACTATTATTTACATTATTTGTATTTATAACTATTTATGTTAGTATTTATTTATATCTTATATATAAAATTCTCTTGTCACAGTTTTCATTCCCATACTCCTCCGAAACGGCTTGACCGATTCTCATGAAATTTTGTGAGCGTATTGAGTAGGTCTGAGAATCGGCCAACATCTATTTTTCATCCCCCTAAATGTTAGGGGTAGTCCACCCCTATTTTTTTTTTTTATTTTAAACAGGGACAGCTAGTTACTTTGTAAATGTGTAAATTGTACAATTTGTAATTCGCATTTTTTGACATACTTTTTATAGCACCAATTATTGTTATCCTCTCAGTACCACCTATGCCACAATTTTGGGTTGACTGGAAGAAATCTCTTCTAGGGATAAGTCCACCTCACATTGTCTCTAAATTAACGGATCCTCTCTGCAACGCGCACGTGACACCCCTAGTGTTTCAGGCGTCCATAGGCTACGGTAACCATTTACCATCAGATGGGCCGTATGCTTGTTTGTCACCATCGTATGTTAACTATCGTGTGACGCACCATTAATTAAAAATGGTAAAGTCAATAATCATGTAACCTGAAACGGAACGTCAGAGGCCAGAGCCAAAGTAATCTATGTGACATTGACAAGTGGATGACGGATAATTGAACGTAGGCAGCGGGAGTTTTGGAGCGAAAGTGTTTATATTATTATAAAAACAAATAAGAGATAGATAATTGTGAATATTGTAGGCATTGAGGTGTTTCTCTCCCTGACTAACCGGCATTACGCCTAAGTCGTCAGGATACTAGTGATTTTAAAAAGTGATATAATAAAAAAATAATGTATTATCTGTGCAATAAAAAATATATATACAAGAATTTTCTATTCTAATCTGGTATTTTAATTTTCAGTATTAAAACACTATACGATAACGTAGATGTGGTAACGATCCGCGAGAACACAGAGGGAGAGTACTCTGGTATAGAGCACGAGATCGTAGATGGAGTAGTGCAGTCAATTAAACTGATCACAGAGGAAGCCAGCAAGCGGGTCGCCGAGTTCGCCTTCCAGTTCGCCAGAGACAACAAGAGGAAGAAGGTCACCGCTGTCCACAAGGCTAACATTATGTGAGTATCTATTCCTCATATAGGGCGTAACATCGCCTATACCAAATAGCGTGGACGGACCGACAGAAACTAAAAATTCTTGTCGACCAGTGAATATATATACATATTTATACAGTAGTTTTATGAAACCTATTAAATTGATGTATGGCAGGTGACACTTAACGGTTGAGTGCGAGCTCCGTTGTCACATGACAAGCGTTTATTGCTGCTAAATTGTTTGTGAATTACTGTTTCTTACATCGTGTTATCTTGATACGTGTTTGTACGAACTACCTATAATCATAAATGAATATAAATATCTTGAGTATCTTACATTAAATGGTCATGGTAGTCTAAAATGAAAAATTTCAAGATCTAAGAAACTGTAGTAGATAGATTTAATTACCTTTTTTAAGGGTGATAATGGATTGGTGCACTCGCCTTCGCTAAGGGTATACGCTGGCGGGGCACCAGTGGAGGATGATAAAATGATTATAAGGTCAAGTCGGTTAACCCAAACCGGTAACTTCACCAGGAATTTATCATAATGGTTTCCAGGAGGAACCGCGTGGAGATTAACCTGATATTGCTAGCTATGGGGTTATTAGTCCACAGTACTAACAATGCCCTGCCCCCAAATTTAATTAGTCGTTATTTATGGTCTAACTGACCTGACCTCGTATTTATCTTATCCACCACTGGTGCCCCGCCAGCGTAACCCGTTAGCGCAGGCGGGGCACCATTCCATTAGTAAAAAAATGCTCAGAAATTAGTCTCCTCCCTCGAGATTTTATGGTCGAACTGACCTGACCTCGTGTTTATCTTATCCTCCACTGGTGCCCCGCCAGCGCAACCCGTTAGCGCAGGCGAGGCGCCATTCCATTAGTAAAAAATGCTCAGAAATTAGTCTCCTCCCTCGAGATTTTATGGTCGAACTGACCTGACCTCGTGTTTATCTTATCCTGCACTGGTGCCCCGCCAGCGCAACCCGTTAGCGCAGGCGGGGCGCCATTCCATTAGTAAAAAATGCTCAGAAATTAGTCTATTCCCTCCAGATTTTATGGTCTAACTGACCTGACCTCGTGTTTATCTTATCCTCCACTAACGCGCTAACGGGTTGCGCTGGCGGGGCACCATTCCATTAGTAAAAAATGCTCAGAAATTAGTTTCCTCCCTCCAGATTTTATGGTCTAACTGACCTGACCTCGTGTTTATCTTATCATTCTCAACTGGTGCCCCGCCAACGAAAACCGTTAGCGCAGGCGGGGCACCATTCCATTAGCAACAAAAATGCTAACATGTTAGTCTATGTATATATATTGTTTGTATTCCATAGGCGTATGTCCGACGGTCTGTTCCTACGGTGTTGTCGCGACCTGGCCACCAAGTATCCAGACATCAAGTTTGAGGAGAGGTACCTCGACACAGTCTGCCTGAACATGGTCCAGGATCCGTCCAAGTTCGACGTACTGGTCAGTATTACCACTAAAATAAATAACTCCCAATCTTTTCTAGGAGTGAAGTGTATATATATATATATGTAACAAGCTTCATCATCATCATAGCTTTATAGAAAAACAAAAATATATAAATAATAAATTGTATAAAAAATCAGGTGTCAAAAGATACTTTAAAAAGATTTCTGTCGCCAACTCTTTTACAGACTCTTTTTAGAGTAAACTGTCACAAGCTTAATGGAAAATCAAAAATATAAAAATTAAAAATTAAACAAAAAATTCTTACCAAAATAAGTATATATTATAAAAGAGGCCTGTCGCCAACAGCTTGACGGCATACATTATTATTCGAATGGCAAATAAGCTTACGGCCTGCCTGATGTTAGGCGGTAACCATTGTCCATATCCTGTTTATGTACTACGGGTATCCGTACATCATATTGTCATGGGTCACCACGCATAGACTAAGATATCTTATAATTTTGTTGCCTAATTGCAACCTACAATCAAAAATTAGATGCTTCTTACAAAGTTAGCTGATTGGCAGCTGAAGTAGACAGAGGTGCCAACGGAAACGAACGACGAAGTCTACATTAGTGTTTTTCTAGAATCTTCCATGAGATTGCTCAAAATTGGTTTATGGGAATGATAGATAGAAAAATTTTGGCGTAACGCACATAAAAAAAATACAGCAGAATTAAGAAATTCCTGCTTTTTTTAAGTGGGTCAAATTAACGTTAGCAAATTGTATTAACCTTTTACAATTATATTACCTTTTAAGTAAATTGGTTTTTTTCTGGGTCGGATGTTATCGTGTCGTTGCTACTTATTAATCATATTTTTATGTAATCTTTTTTTTAGAATCAAAGTACATATTTTTAACCTTTCGTTATATTGTGGAAATTTTATTATATCTTCTTTATATAGTATAAAATGAAGTCGCTTCCGACATCTTTCACTTAGATCTTTTAGGTTATGCAACGGATTTTAATGCAGTCTCTAGTAGTAGATAGAGTGATTCAGTGGGAAGGTTTATATGTATCAATACATGTGTGTTATGTTATAGAACAAGCCGAGAAATTCAAAGATTTGTGAAGTATTCGGGCGAAACCTGGACGAGTCGTAGTTACATAGTATAAAAAGAATCAACTTCCGCCGTCTGACCTTAGATCTTTTAAACTATGCAATGGACGCAATGCAATTTTTAGCAAACCGGCTCCCGCACGGTGAATCCATGGAATGCGAAGAAATTCTTCTCTCGTGAACGAATTTTAATTTAAGTTTTATATGAAATGATATGTGGAAATGGAACTACATATGGTTCCTTAAAAAATGATCAAGGTCTAACTAGTAGTAGTAGTTTTTCAGTAACTGAAACTACTAAAACTAACAGAAACTACTGAGTTTCTGACGGAACTATAAATTGACGTGGATTTTTATCATTGATCAGTTCGGAACTCTCCTTTGAAATCCGGGTAACGATGATGTATTGAGCTATGACGAATTAAAATAGAATTGTTATGTATTTATAATTTCAGGTGATGCCCAATTTATACGGAGACATCATGTCAGACATGTGCTCCGGTCTGGTCGGAGGTCTCGGCCTCACCCCATCAGGGAACATCGGAAAGAATGGTGCTCTATTCGAATCTGTAAGTACACCGCACATATTAGTCGACATCGATTTAATTTATCGATTCATCGATTTAAAATATTCACATCTTTTCAAACGTACTTTTATTAAGACCAGCTAAGTTATGTAACAGTTGTCTATGGTAATAGATTAAATGGATAGTTTTGCGATTTTATAAAATTCTGTTAAAATTATTTATATTGTTATATAGGTCTCAACATGAATAATTATATGATGATTAAAGGTGAGGCTAAGGCTAGTGGAACCTAGTGGAAATGTCGCGAGAGATAAATACATAACAATCTTTCGCTGCACCACTCATGGTTGACGGATAGTAAAGTCCGCCATATATGTACATTAATTTTGTGCATTGAAGTTAAATAAATAAATAAGTACCTTTAATAACGTTAAAATTATTCATGTCAAGACACGGTTAACAATATAAATAATGTGTATGAAACATAAAAGTTTAAAAACAGTTAAAATAGTCAGACATAATCGCAAAACAGTAGATTTATCACACATGACAAGTGTTAGTGAGGTGATGTTACATAATTAAGCCGAAGATTCAAGAAGAGTCGGAATGATTACCGATTATAAAGATTTTTATCGATTACAAATCTTTTGGTTTAAGTTCTAGCGTCGATTAGGAACTGAGTTAAGTCATGGTCCTAGTTGAGTGCAATAATAATTACTAACTTCATAATATTAAGGTCTTTATTACACTATCGAATATATACGATAATTTGTAATAATATTTTCTACTATTATAAAGAAAATTCGAGAAATATGTGTTTGTGAATGAATATCAAAGCCTCCTTTATTATTTTCAATGAATTAAACCTACAAACAGGATTAATCTGTTCGAAAAACTTTCACAAATTAATAAATACTTTATTTGACATGGACATACATTATATTTTAACTTAATTGTTCAACTCTACTTCAACTTCAATTCACTTTATATTATAGAACTTTTGACTGATGTTGTAATTCAGTTATTATATCTAGTTTAATAAATTGTTAAAGTAATAAGAGAACGTATATGTATGATAGTGTAATAAGACACTTACATTAATAGAGTTCACTGTGTCCGCTGATTTAGAACCTTCAGTGCAACTAAATAGGTTCTAATTTTGACAAAAATTGTGTGATTTGATCAAATCAGATTGTAAATTGTTTACCATCATCATCGACCAACACGTTACTAGTATGTGACTCTAGTAACACTCAGCACTGTTATATGCTTTTTACACGCTATCGTGTGCTTAAAAATGTGTCAAACGCAAATAAAACTTGTATACTAGTTTTAGTCGCTTTTAGAAATAAATTTAATTTGTATATTTTGTTACGGTACGCGACAGGTCGTTTTGGAGCTTACTTTTTATATGCAACCTTACTATTGTGATAATAGAGTGTATATTTAAATTATGTTTTGAAAGTGATTTCATGTTGGACCTACTTAAATAATTTATTACCATATATAATTTATAATGAAAAATATTTTATAGTCGATAAAACAACGTCGCAGGTGGTATTCTGTTATCGTTTTCGCACAGAAGGGGGCTTGCTATATAATCTATAACGTCAAGCTCTATTATCATACTGATTAGATTTTGCGACGTCTATTTAAGTCTGTCTGTAAGGTAATCAATAACTTGAATTTATCACGTCTATCAATCAATTGTATACTTGACTAAGTTAGGTATATAATTTATAAACAGCTATATCTATTTTGAGATTAGTTCATTCTAGTGGCTTCATTTGTAAGTTGTGTGCTAAATTAATATTTTATAAGAATGTCTAAATCTATTTTACCTGTTGTTCTTTTTTTACGAGACATTTTTTAAATCCATATTACGCTCATTTTTATCCGGCTCAAAGGACCAAAAGAATGTGCTATTGATTAGAACTAGAAATTCATTGAGATGATTAATATAAAAAATCAATTTTACACTTGACTAAGTCAGGTATATAATTTATACATACATAACAGCTAGATCTATTGTGAGATTACTTTATTTCTAGTAACTTATTTTGTAAGCTGTATATGAAATTAATATGTTTAAGAATCTAATTCCAAGAAAGAGTAATCTAATTCTATTTTACCTGTTGTCTTTTTCTTACGAGACATTTTTTAATACTTAGTTCGCTGGTAGTAAACCGGATTGGCTTGAAGGATCAAAATGTTAGTTATTGAATAAAACATATTCGTCGTATTGATTAATATATTGAAAATTTATTATGATAAGATAAAATAGACCGCCTGCAATGTACTTGAGGATCATTAGCGGACTCGTCTAAGAATAATCCCGCGCGCATCTCGTATAGAAGTGCTGTAAATAAGAAATGTATTGCGTATAATGAAATGTTTCTATGTGACAGAGACCATACAAAGAAAGAGACAATAATCGTACAGATAATATGAAAATATTACCATCTCGACCTGTCGCAAACGTTGTTTAGAACCTAGAGGTAATAGAGTTATGTGAAATATCTCACGTTAGTAAAAACGATGTCTGCAATTATATTTCTTCATTTCGAATTGGCGAAACCTTGAGAGAATAAGTGCTATTAAATTAATATCTTTAAATATCGTTATTATACAGGGTTAATTTAAAAATATACACCAATCCAAAACTATTTATAAATTCAACATCTCTTCCTATATTAATTATGAAATATAGTCCAAATATTAAATAGAAATATTCTTTCTAGTTTTTTTTAATAAGGGTTCAGAATAATAAATACGTATATACATGATGAGAAAATTTTTAACTTTCTACATGAGCTGTCGTTTTTGGATTGGTATACTTTTATCGAATCACCCTGTATAATTACTTCTTGCATCATTGTTCAGTATCATGAATCGCATAGTTTCAACACAAAAATGTGTGCAGTGCAGTGTAATAAAAAGAAAATCAAATATGTATGTAAGTGTATTTAATGAAATTATTTTTTCTGTCACTAACCAAGTGTGGAGTCGTGTTACAGTTCAAATTAACGCATTATTTGTATTAACAAATACACATGTCATAATTCTAATTATTCGTTGTGAATGTTATGGGGATATTATCATGGGTGTTGTCCATTATGCGATTATCACATTATCATTATATGATATTTGTATTGGTTTATTACACTATAGTATATATCAATCACAATATACATATATAATATACACATTATTACATCGCTTTTCAATACAATATTATCAAAGTAATATTAAAAAAAAAAACCTTGCCTTGTGTAATGCTGTATTTTTTTTTTGTATGATAATAGAATGGTGCTCATACCTGCACTACCAGTTTACGCTGGCGGGGCACCAGTGTAGGATGCTACACTTTTTTTTATACTACGATGGTGGCAATTAAGCATACGGCCCATCTGATGGTAAATGGTTACCGTAGCCTATGAACGCCTGAAACATCAGGGGTATCACTTGCGCGTTGCCGACCCTTAAGAAACCTTAATATACCCTTCTTGAAAAACCCCATGCTGTAGTCTCGTGGGAAAACCTCGGCAGGAAGTTCATTCCACAATCTAAGTGTACACTAGTGCCCCGCCAGCGTGAACCGTAACCGTAATAAGATGAACATGAGGTTAGGTCAGGTAACCCATCGTGACATATTCACCAAGAATTTATCACGATGATTTCTAGATGGTACCACGTGGAGGTCATGTTGACATGGTACATTGCTAGCAATGAGAGTTACTAGTTCCCATTACTAACAATCCCCTTCCCACCTATGATGCTATATTATCTAGTGTATATTTTATTAAAATATCTTCAATTGCAAATTACACTCGAACGAATGAGGACAAAATTTAAATACACTATATTTGTTATTCTATACTCAAAATATAAATATAATATTGTTGATAAGTATCGTTACCTAAACTCTTACCTACAGACAATAAGGTTAAAGATTTCATTCATTCGTTCATTTCATACATTGATCAATCTATCAATGAAATTATTGAGTCATGTCTTTTTATATGAGCAACATATCGATCCATCTAGATATGAATGACTTTTGACAGTTATAAATCCCTAGTACATACAAATATTATGACTCGGTAATTGTGAGTCATTTGCCTAAATTCAAATATCATAAAAGATAGTAAAGATTAAAGTGGTCTTAGATATCGAGCATTTATATAAATTTTCACTTAACAGAAACCGTCCGATTGTATTTTAAAAGCGTAAAGATGTAGTTTTGTTGTAGTTTTGTTCTATATATGTATAGGTAAAAAAAATCAGAAAAATACCTTATACATGTATATTTGGAACAATTGACAAAACATTTAAGTATAAAACAAAACTGTACAATAAAAAACTATATGTTTAAATACTAATTTATAAAAACAATATGCAACAAAAGATAAATGAGTTGTAGGTAAAAATGTAAACTTATTATTTATTTGTTTTTCTACTAGTTGTGAAATTTATAGCCTATCTGTTATTCTGATGTATAAGCTATATTATTGTAAAGTTTCATCCAAATCCGTTCAGTAGTATTGCATGAAGAACTGACAAACATCCATTCATTCATCTATCCATCTATAGTCACAAAGTTACTCATTTATTTATAATATTAGTAAAGTAATATTTATTTAGTTTAGGCATATTTTTATTTTATTATTTTACTTGTAAATGTAAAGTATAATGACACTATAAAAATTAAAGATGGTTAGTATGAATGAATAAATATGAAAATTAATTTGTTGATTTCAGAAATTTCAGACGGAGATAGGTCTATAAATATAGATATAATCCATATTTTATACATTAATATAATAGTGTTAATATATACACGATAGTTATATAATAATTTAATTTAATATATTTGTAAAATTTGATGACATATATATGTATATATTTGAGCATACAATTATAATAAAACCCCATAATAGAACTGTGCAGAGTGCACTGGCTGGCAAATCATGGTCTTTCTCCATAAGAGGAGAGTTTTATTACCATGCCCGCCGAGCGGCTTGATATAGGCTTTTACGTCG